GATCATCCATCATGATCTAGTAGGATTTTTTCCAGGGATGCAAGGATGGTTACAACATTCAAAAATCCATCAACATCATCAACCACAAGACAAAATGAAGGACAAAAACCACATGATCATCTCCATAGCTACTGAAAAAGCATTCAACAAAATTGAACATCCATTCATACAAAAACTCTCAACAAAGTGGTATAAAGGGCAAGTACCTCAACATAATAAAGGCCATATATGACAAACCCACAGCCAACATGATATTTAACAGCGAGAAGCTGAAAGCTTTTCCTTTAAGATGGGGAACAAGACGGATGCCCACTCTCCCCACTTCTACTCAACATAGTTCTGGAGGTCCTAGCCATGGCAATAAGACAACACAAATAAAGAAAAGTCATCCAAATTGGCAAGGAAGAAGTCAAACTCCATTTGTAGATGACATGATATTGTATATAAAATCCCTAAAGAATCCACTGCAAAACTACTAGATCTAATATCTGGATTCAAGAAAGTTGCAGAATGCAAAATTAATACACAGAAATCTGTTCGATTCCTATACACTAATGATTAGTATAAAGAAATCAGGGAAACAATTCCACCTACAATTGCATCAAAAAGAATAAAATATATAGTAATAAACCTAATGAAGGAAGTGAAAGACCTGTACTCTGAAAACTACAAGACACTCATGAGAAAAATTAAAGAAGATACCAATAAATGGAAACACGTCCTGTGCTCATGGATAGGAAGAATTAATACTGTCAAAATGGCCATCCTGCCTAAAGCAATCTACAGATTCAGTGCAATCCCTATCAAAACACCAACAGCATTCTTCAATGAACTAGAACAAATAGTTCTAAAATTCATATGGAACCACAAAAGACCCCGAATAGACAAAGCAATCCTGAGAAGGAAGAATAAAGCAGGGAGGATTATGTTCCCCTACTTGAAGCTCTACTAGAAAGCCACTGTAATCAAGACAATTCAGTACTGGCACAAGAACAGACCACAGAACAATGTAACAGACTAGTAGAGAGCCCAGACATAAATGCAAGCATATATGGTCAATTAGTATATCATAAAGGAGCCACAGGTATACAATGGGGAAATGACAGACTCTTCAACAACTGGTGTTGGCAAAACTGGACAGCTACATGCAAGAGAATTAAATTGGATTATTATGTAACCCCCATACACAAAAGTAAACTCAAAATGGATCAAAGACCTGAATGTAAGTCATGAAACCAGAAAACTCTTAGAAGAAAATATAGACAAAAATCTCTTCAAAATAAACATGAGCAAGTTTTTCCTGAACGCATCTCCTTGAGCAAAGGAAACAAAATAAAAAATGAACAAATGGGACTACATCGTGCTCGAAAGCTTCTGTAGAGCAAAGGACACCATCAGGAGAACAGAAAGGCATCTTACAATATGGAGGAATATATTTATTAATGCCATATCTGACAAGGGGTTAACATACAAAATAGATAAAGAACTCAGATGCCTCAACACCTAAAAAGCACATAACCCTATTAAAAAATGGGCTGAGGATCTGAATAGACACTTCTTCAAAGAAGAAATTCAGATGGCCAACAGGCACATGAAAAGATGCTCCACATCACTAATTATCAGGGAAATGCAAATTAAAACCACAATGAGATATCATCTCACACCAGTTAGGATGGCCAACATAGAAAAGACTAGGAACAACAAATGCTGGGAAAACTGCGGAGAAAGGGGAACCCTCCTACACTGCTGGTGGGAATGTAAACTAGTTCATCCATTGTGGAAAGCATTATGGAGGTTCCTCAAAAAACTAAAAATAGAAATACCAGTTGACCCTGGAATTCCACTCCTAGGAATTTACCCTAAGAATGTAGGATCCCAGTTTCAAAAATCCCAGTTGCACCCCTATGTTTACTGCAGCACTATTTACAGTAGCCAAGATATGGAGCAACCTAAGTGTCCATCAGTAGACGAATGAATAAAGAAGATGCGGTACATATACACAATAGAATACTATTCAAACAAGAAGAAAACAAATCCTACCATTTACAACAACATGGATAGAGCTAGAGGATATTATGCTCAGTGAAATAAGCCAGGTGGAGAAAGACAAGTACCAAATGATTTCATTCATCTGTGGAGTATAAGAACAAAGCAAAAAACTGAAAGAACAAAACAGCAGCAGACTTACAGAACCCAATAGTGGATTTACAGTTACCAAAGGGAAAGGGACAGTGGAGGTTGGGTGGGGAGAAGGGGAATAAGGGGCATTATGATTAGCCCACATAATGTATGGGGGGCTCAGGGAAGGCAGTATAGCACAGAGAAGACAAGTAGTGACTCTACATCTTACTACACTGATGGACAGTGACTGTAATGGGGTATGTGGTAGGGACTTGATAATGGGGGGAATCTAGTAACCTCAATGTTGCCCATGTGATTTTATATTAATGACGCCAAAAGAAAAAAAATGAGTTTACTAACTATATAATTAAATAGTGCTGTCTGGGACTTTTTTTGACCTTAACAACTTCAACAGAATGTCCTATCAGACTTTGCCCTGTGAAACCGTATTAAAATCTATCATCCAAGATGCTAGTATGGTACCCTCAAAGATATTGCAGACCTAAAGGTGCCACCCACTTTTACATCTTGGATTTGGGCCCTTTTATGGTGTCTGAAAAATCAAGGGAACTCAACATTAACTGACTTTATCATTAACTTTTGTCAGATTGTCGTAGGTACGTGCTGTGGAACTGTCATAAGGGAAGGAAAGAATTAGGCCTTCGTGGAGGAGTTACATCCATTTACAATAAACCAGTAATCTAGAGAGTAATGTATTTCTTGAGGTCTGTGAGCCACTGTAGCAAATTAATTGAGTCCAAGGAGGGGTTTGTGGGAACCTCCAATTTATAGGTAGATGGTCAGAAGTGGAGATGACAACTTGGCCTTGTGTTTGGATCTGAAGCAGGCAGCAGTCTTGAGGTACTGAGCCCTGAACCCGTGGGATCTGATGCTATCTCCAGGTAGACAGTGTCAGGATTGAGTTGAATTGCCCAGCTGGTGGAATGACGCCCAGCTTGGTGTGGGGGAAAAACCCACAAATTGTAATTGGTGTCACAATCATGATAAACAAGCAAATGGATGCAGGGTTCAGGAGGCAACTAAAGCACTTAAATGAGATTACTCTTAAGAGTATCTAAGTGAATAAATTATCAGGCTAACAGAACAGCTTTAAAGTAAAATAAAGTGGTACAAACTTTGTGGTTTCATCTCTCTCTCTCTGCATTTAAGAGGTAATGAAAGTAAACTTAATAATAAATATTTATCTATATGCTTTGTCCAACAAGATTTTCAGAAGGCAGAAAATATTTCAGAGAGGAAACTATTTTCTTCAGACAAAGGGAAAGAACAATTAACAGGTCATGACCATTTTGGAAAGCATTATGTATCTCCTGGTGGGGAATCCTGGTGAACCTCCAGAAGCCAAGAAAGCTGCTTACCATACTGCCTCCCCATTATACACACACACACACACACAGGAATTATGCTTAAGCAGCAGCAGACATTACCAGAGCTCCTTTCTGTTCTTGCTAAGCTGGGTCTCAAAGAAGGCCCCCAAGTACACCATTTTTTATTAAAAACACTCTTCATACTTGACTGATTTTTTTTTCAAGTTGAAGGAAAATTGACATAGAACATAATGTTAGTTTCAGGTGTACATCATAGCGATTCAGTGTTTTTAAACATTATTAAATGATCCCCACATTAAGTCTAGTTACCATCTGTCACCACACAAAGTTATAACAACATTATAGACTATATTCCCTATGCTGTACATTACATCCCCTAACTGGAAGTTTATACTTCTTGATCCTCTTATTTCACCTGCTCCTCCCATCCCGGCCCCTGCAGTCTCTTACCCCCTAGTAACCAAAAGTTTGTTTCCTGTATCTATAAGTTTGGTTCTATTTTGTTTTGTTTGTCTGTTTGCTTTGTTTTTTAGATTCCACATGTAAGTGAAATCATAGTATTTGACTTTCTCTGTTTGACTTGTTGCACTTAGTGATTTTTACTTTTTAAATGTAATCCTTCAAATTCTATTGTTTTCTAAATTATTTAAGTACAAAATTGAGTGTAATTGTTTTAATTATCATATATGCAGAATTCTAAATTATAGATAGCTCCATTCATCAATTTCTTAAAAGCTTTTTAGTTTAAGGTTTTCACAATATTGTTTTTCTATTTTCATTGCTCTAGTTTTGTTTTGTTTTGTTTTTTGTTCTTAACTTTCTGGTGTAACTTAAACCTGAGGCTTGCGAAGCATCTCTTCAAATTATTAATTGTTCATCCTGCCTGAATGTCTTGCATTTGACTGAACATGCCCAGTTCTTCTAACAATTTCTCATAGGTCTAATTTCACAAACCTTCAATCAGTTGCTGTTCTCTGAACACTGGCCAAGTTTTTTCCCTTTATACAATATGGCATGTAAAATTAAATAGGGTTTATTCCAACTGAAGCCTGCCCAGTGCCAAATAAAGCACAAATAATTGCTCCTCTCCTTTTTCACACATATACCTTAATACAATCCTATAAATATTTCTCTCTTATTTCAACATAGGTAAGACTCATCCAGCTTAACACTGACTGTGTTGTTGGATCTCCCTTGGCACTGTTTCATCTATGGCTGTCCTAATTGGTATTTCCACATTTGTTGCAATGCAGTAGCATATTAAAAGTCAGATGTTACATACCCAAAAGGGTTTCTTCCACATGCTTTTCCATTAAAGATTGCCCCATGAAAAATTGGTATAAATGTGAATTTATTGCTTGGGGTCTTAAGAACTAAGCTTGAGTGATTCTGAGTATTGTGATACAAACTGAAAAGAAGGATTTTGATGGTTAGAAACTAGGAGAGTTTGTCAAAAACTGTGGAAGAAGCAGGCTGCCTCTATTTTATTCTGTCAGAGTTCAGTTGTAAGTAATGGAAACCCATTTTGGCTAACTTAAACAAAAAGGAATTTATTGGCAAGGTATTAGACAATTTTCAGTAGGCTGGAGCCCCATGCTTAGAAAGTAACAAACACCAAGAACACTTCCACAGTAGGAATCTCAGCTGTGGTCTGAAGAAAAGCAATGGCATTTGTTCTTTGCCACTGGGTCTGTTCTGTGGTTCTCTGTAGACATCCAGAGTCTAAACCTGAACCTGATCTTAGGCACTGTTGTAGAATCCCAAAAACAGACAAAACTGGTACCCTTCAGGACATTACTACAGTCTAGGAGGGAGGGAAAGACATAATTAAATGGAAGTCAAGTTTTGATCATGCGATAAAAGTAAAATGCTCTAAAAGCTGACTTCCCAGGTGTCTCTCCTAGTTACAGAGAAAATGGATGTTCCCAGTAACTCCCAGTCCAAGTATGTTTGCTGGCAAAGCGCCTGTGGCCCATCTTTAACAGCCTCATGTTTAGCTTACTCAGCCTCTTCTCCACTCAGATTCCATGAAGTTCCAGGCTGGTAAATGACAAACTGAAAAGCACCCATCCTGAAGATACAAACACATGGCTTCACAAACACCTGGGGCTTTTTAAAGGCGCTTGGGTTTTACCCTTGCTCTGGGAACTTCTCACTTTCAGAGAGTAACTCATCTTCATCTTTTTCTTGGATGTCCTCTTGTGCAGCGCTTGCAGCCTCAGTGAAGTAACACATTGTGTGTCATGTTTTGATATGAGGTGATCACAAATAATTTTCCTATAATAAAGTACCAAAGTTTTGGAAGTCTTTATATACATACATGTAGATATATACACATGTGTTTATGAGAGATGTAAGAATCATCTTCTCACATGCATTTCCAGCTGGCCTGCAGGGAGCTATATATATAAACTGCTGCCTCTCTCTGGCCATTTTGAATTATTTTCATGTTTCAAATTAACTTTAAAAATGTTTGCCCCTACCCAGAAAATGAACTAAGATACGATATGAAGAAGAACTTCCAACATCAGCACTCTCTGGAAGAGTCATACCAGAAGATGATCATCAAAAAACCTCAACAAAGATCCAGGCGATGCTGCAGTTGTAGCTGCATCCATCCCACCGGTTCCTGGACTCGCCATTGGAATGAAGAAGGAGATATCTAAGCTGGCCCGTGCTTTCAGTAAAACAACAAATTTGACTGGGTCTATACTGTTGGAACTCAACCAAGAATTAGGAGAAGTGCAAGTCGTAGCGTTCCAAAATCTTACAACTACAGACTATCTACTGTTAAAAGAACATATGGGATGTGAACAGTTCACAGAAATGGGTTGTTTTGTCTGATTTCTCTCAGACTGTTCAAGTACAGTTGGACAATATCCATCATATCATAGACAAATTTTCACAAATGCCTAGGGTGCCTAACTGGTCTTCTTGGCTCCACTGGAGATGGCTAGTAATTATAGATCTGCTTTGGTTATGTAACTGTATTCCTATTATGTTAATGTGTGTGC